TCTGACGATTCAAACGCATCCGAGACTAGATAGGACTGCAATACGAGTGTCCTCGGTTGAATAGATTTGATCCCCGGTCCCCGTGAACCGTGAAAACCCGAGGGAGCTCTCGAGTAATACTGAGGCCCCACGTGGCTTCGATTTGATCGTGTGGGAGGGAATCTGACGCAATCCAGAGGGGGGGTAAAGAGAGAGAGAGACTTCCGAAAATGTAGAAAGCCGGGGACGGTAATAGAAGCCCATTAGGGTTTTCATTTCAGAACAAAAGGCTTTCTCCGCACAAGCTATACGGTTGATATCTGCGTTGTTCCTTATTTGTGTATTTTGGTCATCTACTGCCCACCAATGTGATCTATGGCGACGTTGTCCAATCTCAAGTCCCTACACGATCATGTGATCAAACGCAATCACGGAAGAGGGGTTGGATCACCATTCACTGTATTTAAGAAGACTCAGAACTACGGATTGAGACCTTGAACTCATGTTTACTGATGTGATCAGTGGAGTGAGAGGTTTTCCATTGACTTCTATAGGAGCAGATGAGTCGCCCCCTGCAGGCCGTTGCAAAGAATGCAAATTCAAGGAGCTTCAAAGAGCCGGACGCTGCCGCCTGCCATGTATTTGGCCGCCAGTAAACTCGTCAGCTCTTCTCAAACTAAGGAAACTATGAGACCAGCTTCGGATCGGGGGGGTGACACACTCTTTGCAGCATCCATCGATACCTCACATTGACGCGTACACGGACCCTCACTCTCTACCTCTACCCCGGCATTGTTGAAATGCGTCTTGACGGCGGGCCTCTATCTGGGCTTTCATCTCCCCGTCACGCCTTCGCCACTGACGCCACTGAGATGAAAGCTACCGGCCGGGCTGGGCATAATCTGCCCCGATAGGGAAACCTCTGGTGGCTGCAGGAGACGGAGGAGTTGGAGTGCAGGCGTTCGGTAGTCGGGTGCGTCACGGGGCTGCTGGTGGAAAGTCTGCATGCAGAGATAGAATCCCAGATACAGCCGCTGTGCCCGACACAGCAGAGGAAAAGATCAACAAGATACAGTCAACCTCTGAGCGAAAGCATTTGTGAACACGAGATACACGGACGTCCTCCTTATCATTTTATTCATATCCCCCTCTCGTCAACAGGGTTGAGTATATATTGTATATGCAACGTGTGCAGTCAATTTCTTATAACACCCCGTGTTGTCCCACCTTTGGTTAAATGCGCCAT